TACAGAAAAGTAAAAAGAATAGAAAAAGAATAGTAAAAGTCTCTTCTCTAGATTTCACACTCATTGACATTTTACCATATCTGCTTCAACCGTTTTTCCTACTGAAGTATTTTTAATTACAACTTTGTCATTTTACCCCAAATACTTCTGTATGCATCTCTAAAAGTTAAGAATATCTTTTTTACTTAACTGTATCATTGTCACACATAATGAAATTACCAATTCCTTAATATTGTTTAATACTGAGATCATATTCACATTTCCCCAATTACCCCTTTGCCCAAATGCCTTTTGCTGCAGATTTGTTCAACTCAGGATCTGGTCACAGCCCACACCTTACATATGATTGTTTTGTCTCTTAAGACATAACAGTAATTACATGACATCGATTTGTTGAAGAGATGGGAATGTTCTGTGGTGGAATGTCCCACCTTCTGGATTTGTCTTTTAGCTTCCAAGTGTTGTCATTTAATTTGTTCCTCTAATTCTTGTGTTTCCTGTAAACTGGAAATTAGACCTAAAGATTTAGGTTAAACATTTTTGGGAAGATGCCTTTAGGTGATGCAATGTGAAGATGTACTTCATATTCACGTTGAGAGGGACATCGTAGCTGCTTATTCCACTATTAATGGGTAAGGTGATGGCAGTCTGATCCCTTCATTTTGAAGTTAGGTTTCCTACTATTGAGATTAACAAGGTATCCATTGGATGATACAATGGTATTACACGAATACTGTATGCAGTTCTCCGTGGTCTTAGCCCATTTAGGCTGCTCTAACAAAATACCTTAGACTAGGTAATTTATAAACAACAGAAATTTATTGTTCACAGTTCTGGAGACTAAGAAGTCCAAGATCAAGGTGTCAGCAGATTTGGTGTCTGGTGAGGGCTCAGTCTCCGCTTCCATAGATAGTACACTGTTGGTGTGTCCTCACATGACAGAGGGGCAAAAAGGCTCCTTCAAGCCTCTTTTATAAAGGACAGTAATCCCATTCATGAACAGGGAGCTCTCCTAACCTAATCAGTCCCAAAAGTCCCACCTCTTACTACTATCACCTTGGGGGTTAGGATTCAACATACAAATTTTGGAGGGACCCAAGCACTCAGACAATAGCATCCATTGATGATCCTTGCCTGAATCAATGGTTTCATCAAAAATTGCCAACAGTGGTTTCCTATCATTTATCTAAATGGATTAGCTATACTCTTCTGAAAACAAGAGCTTTCCCTCACCACCTGAGCCACTCTGTTACCTGGAAGTAGATTTCTATGGCAAAGCAGCATAGTGCTAATTTTTCCTCTGTAAATATTTCAGAGTAAGAACCTGAAGTGATTGCCAACTCCAGTGGTGACAAAAGGATTGTGTTTTTTCTTTTCTATTTTCTTCTTAAAGAGAAGAACTTGTAAACAAAACAGGTTTTCACTTATTACACCTTACTGGTGAACTGGAACTTTTGTGATTTTGTAGTGACCGTCTTTAGGCTAAAGTCAATTTTGTCTTTTTCTTCTAAATCCTTATTTAGAAAAATATTATATAGCTACTCCAGCTTAAATTTGATTAAATGCTTGCTCTCTGTATCTTTCTTCACCTTTTCAGTTTTAATGGTTCTGTAACCTGGTGTTTTGTGTATGTCTGTTAAAAAAAACATATAGCCTGATCTTATTTTTATCCAATTTGCCTGTCTGTATGTTATTTGGTGAGTTTCACATTTATTGTGATTATTAGTACTTTTTCACCATCCTACTTTGTATATTCTATTTGTTCCATTTTTCTGTGTTTTTCCCTCCTTAGCACTCCTTCTTCCCCTCCTTTCTCTTTTGTGCTTGCTTGATTTTTTTTTTATTATTATTAATAGATTGGTACTTTCAATTGTTTTGGAAGTGACACACTTTTATTTCCATTCTTTTGATGATTACCCTTTAACCATCTAGAACATAGTACATTTTATGTAGCATAACATTAATATTTAACCCTCCTCTTGAACAATTTAAGAATTTTAGAATATTTTAACTTCAACTATCCCCTTTAATTTACATGCTGCTTGCTGTTGTTACTTCATGTTTCAGTTAGGGTTTTAAAAATTAACCCATGATGGAGCCTTCTTGGTCAAATTGCAACTAGGCAGTATTATATTTATATACAGGGTTTTTTTCTTTGCCAGTGTATTTTCCTGCTCATAGCCAACCAATAAATTCTATATGTTTCAAAAAAATTAACCTACAAAATAGATATTATTGTTATTTTAATAATATGTACACATGCCTGTAATCCCAGCACTTTGAGAGGCTGAGGCGGGCTGATCATTTGAGGTCAGGAGTTCGAGACCAGCCTGGCCAACACATCCAGCTAATTTTTGTATTTTTAGTAGAAACCCCATCTCTATTAAAAATACAAAAATTAGCCAGGTGAGGTGGCACATGCCTGTAATCCCAGCTACTCGGGAGGCTGAGGCAGGAGAAACACTTGAACCTGGGAGGTGGAGGTAGCAGTGAGCTGAGATCCTGCCACTGCGTTCCAGTTTGAGTGACAGAGCAAGACACGGTCTCAATAATAATAATGATGATAATAATAATAATAATACATAGACAGAGTGTGTTTAGACTTAGCTACATTTTCACAGTTGCCTCACTATTCCTTCTTGCTTCTTGGTTCTTCCTTTTAGGATCATTTTCCTTCTTCCTAAAGTAAATGCTTTATATATTCTTTTAGAGAAGGTTTGTTGATGGTAAAGTCTGTTTTTGTTTTCTTGAAAATACCTTTATTCTTGAAAGATAGTTTTGTAGGGTTCACAATCCTTAATTGCCTATTATCTCTTGGTATACTGAAGATATCCTTCCACTGACCCCCCGCTCCTTTATTGCTGTGGGAAAGCCTGTTTCAGTCTAATTGTGATAGTTTTGTGGTACTGTGGGTGGTCTGGGTTTTCTCTCTGCTGCTATAAGGAGTTTCTTTTTGTCTTTGGCATTTTTCCACCTTGGTTGTATGGGTGTACACTACGGTGGTGTATATTCTGTGGATTCACACCTTTCATCAGTTCTGGAACTTTCTCAGCTCTTATCTCTTTGGATATTGTCTCTCTCATTGTCTTGATTCTCTCTTTCTGGGACTCTGGATGTGTTAACATGAGTTTACCATTCTAGGCTTCATTCCTCCTGGCCTTGTTTTCATATTTTTAATCTCATTATCTCTGTCTGCTGTTAAACTTAATAACTTCTTCAATTTATCTTCCAGTTCATTTATTCTCTCTTCATTTGTGTTTTAAATGCTGTTTACCCCACCCACTTAGTTTTTCTTTTCTTTTTTTATGAGATGGAGTCTTGTTCTATCAACAGGCTAGAGCACAGTGACGCGATCTCGGCTCACTGCAACCTCCGCCTCCTGGGTTCAAGCGATTCTCCTGCCTCAGCCTCCCGGACGGCTGGGATTACAGATACATGCCACCACACCCAGCTAATTTTTATATTTTTAGTAGAGATGGGGTTTCACCATTTGGTCAGAATGGTCTCGATCCCTTGACCTTGTGATCTGCCTGCGTCAGCCTCCCAAAGTGCTGGGATTACAGGCGTGAACCACCATGTCTGGCCAATTTTTCATTTTTATAATTATAATTTTCATTTCTAAAAGCTGTATTTGTTTTTTTCAAATCTGCCTGTTATTTTTGCTTGATTATTAAGATATCCATTTTTAACAGCAAATAAGTGTTGGGGAGGATGTGGAGAAATAGTAACTCCTGTGAACTGTTGATGGGAATGTAAAATGGTGCAGTCTCTATGGAAAGCAATATAGCAGTTCCTCAAAAAATTAAAAATAGAATTACCATATGATCCAGCAATTCCACTTCTGGGAATGTACCCAAAAGAATTGAAAGTAGGGCCTCAAAGAGATACTTGCACACCCATGTTCATAGCACCACTGTTCACAATAGCCAAAAGATAGAAGAAATCTGAATGTTTACCAGTGGATGAATGGATAAACAAAATGTGGTATAGACTATAGAATGTTATGCAGTCTTAACAAGGGAGGAAATTCTGACACACACTACAACATGAATGAAACTTGAAGACACGATGCTAAGTGAAATAAAACAAGTACAAAAAAAGAAATACTGCATGACTTCACTTAAATGAGGTTCCCAGAGTAATCCAAATCATAGAGACTAAAAGCACAATGGCGGTTGTCGGCGATTGGGAGGCGGGAGAAATGGAGAGCTGTGTTTAATGGGGGCTGAGTTTCTGTTCTGGAAATGAATGGTGGTGATGACTGCACAGCAGTGTGAATGTACATAACACCACCGAACTATACACTTAAAAATGGTTAAGATGAGCTGGGCATAGTGGCTTATGCCTGTAATCCCAGCACTTTGGGAGGCTGTTGAGGGTGGATCATGAGGTCAGGAGTTCAAGACCAGCCTGGCCAACATGGTGAAACCCTGTCTCTACTAAAAATACAAAAAATTGGCTGGGCATGGGGCTTAATTCTTTGACCATTTTGAGTGTAGGGGCTTATTCATGCCTGTATCCTCACAACCCAGCTTGGGGACTGCCTCATACTTGGGAGCTGATACTTTTTATTTGAATGGATGAAAGAAGCCACACTGAGGGCTCTCCACCTGGAAGAAGGTGGGACACAGGCACAGCATTTCTTTCCAGCCACATGGGAATCCCTGATCAAATGTCACCCTTGACTGCCTAACTCATCTCCTTCCAAAGTCATATGTTATCCCTGGCTCCTGGCTGATTATCACAGGCAGGGAGGGAGGGAAGGAGGCAAAGGGAGAAGGCCTCATGTGGGAATGAAACTTGCTCACTCTGGCTTCTCCACTCTGCAGCTCACTCTTGCTGTCACTCAGTAGGTCTACTCTCCATAACTCTTTTTTTCCCTGCCTCTACTCTGAGACACAATTGCTTTCCCAGGACTTTTTTTCTCCCCAAGCTAAAGAATGAAGGTTCAGTGGTCCCAGCTCCATTCTTATCAAGCATTCCAGCTAGCCTGTGCCAGAGATGTCACACAGCTCTTTAATAATAGTGGCCATAGCTGTAAGAACAACAACAGTAGGTGATAGTAGTCACACCAACAGTAGGGCAGTGCGTTTTCTATTACAACTGGTTTCTTGTTCCAGTAGGCTTGGGGATGGGTGAAGAAGGACAGGGCTGGCACAAACCTTTCCTCCTCCTCTCCAGCCCACAGTGATCTGGGCTCTCATAAGACAGCTTGCTTCCATTCAGTAAGTAGTGTGTGAAAGTTCCTTCTCAGCAATACCCCTGAGACCTTGGCCTGCAGACTGGTTTGTTCAGTGGGCTGCGTCTCTCTGGGATGCTGGGAGCACCAAGCATGGCTGAGCTAGGCTGCTGACTTCCTCTGGGTGCCTCTGGGCTGTGGGGATCTCTTCCTCAAAGGAATTGAGGCCCTTTGTTGCTCCAAGAAATGCTGAAGCTGTGGGCAGAGGGGTGTACCCAAGGGAGCTCTTGCTCTGTCTGACTTTGGGGGATCTCCAGGTGGGCAGGGCAAGAAGAAAGCAGCTCCCAGCACTGCCGAGGGGCAGCATTACAGCTCAGCCTAGAACAAGAGAGACTGATGAAGAGAAAGTCAGATTATTTGAAACTGGACAAAGTGGTGACATGTGCAAAATGAGTCTTCCTTTTCTGAAGCACTTTGCTTCTCTCCCTACCCTGCAGAGGGCCAGGAGGTCTCATGAGCCTTTCCACTCTCTTCCTTATCAGAATCTTCTCTCTAGAAAGGATCTGATAGTCTCATTCTGTCAGAAAAGAGAAAGAAAGGCTTGGTGTGTTCTATTCCCTAAGGTATTTGCATTTAACAGAAATCTCTGACCTAAGGAATTTCAGCCCTAATTGTGGAATCTCAGGCTGTCCCTTGCTTGGAGGGAAAGTTATTTGGGATGTAAAGTGTTGTCAGAGCCATTTAAATCAAACCTAAGGATAGCCTGGCACTCCCTGGGTAGAGGACTGGAGGGAAGGCACAGTGGGTAAGACAAAGGTGCCTTACCTTCCGGACATTGTAGATCCAGTTGAGATAGGCTGAGACCTTGGTGTACACTCCTGGAGTGCTCGGGCCCCCGCAGCCATAGCCCCAGCTACTGATGCCCACCACCTGCCACTGGTCAGACTGGAACATCAGGGGGCCACCACTGTCACCCTGTGGGAGACCAGAACAGAGACTGTTGGGGAGGGCAGGTGAGATGGGGGGGCTTCTCCCTCCCAGCTCCCTGAACTGGCACATCTGTTCCTCTGCACTCCCTGCTGCTCTCTGATCTTCCGTCTTCACCCTCTTTGCTCATTAGCACCCTGGAATGCTCTTCTCTTCTGGGGCAGAAGGCCCTGTCTGTGGGCAAGTAAGTTGCAAGTGTGCTGTTAGCCTTCTCTCAGAGATTCACAACTCACATTGGCAAATTAAAGGCTCTGAGTGATAACGTAAAAAAGCCTGGTTATTGGCTGGGCTTGGTGGCTCATTCCTGTAATCCCAATACTTTGGGAAGCCGAGGTGGGTGGATCATCTGAGGTCAGGAGTTTGAGACCAGCCTGGCCAACATGGTGAAACCCTGTCTCTACTAAAAATACAAAAATTAGCTGGGTGTGGTGGTGGATGCCTGTAATCCCAGCTACTCAGGAGGCTGAGGTGGGAGAATCACTTATAGAGTGCCTATTTTGCACCAGGCACTGTTCTAAGCAATTGGGATCCAATTGATGAAAAAAACAAAGATTTCTGCCCTCAGAAAGCCTAAGATCAAATGGGGTGACAGAGACAGTAAACAAGCAAATAACAAAAAAGAAAATGCCAGATAATGAAAAGTGCACTTATCTGGGAGTCCTTAACAGCGCTATTAGCCCCTGGGACTTCCTCCCTCTGAATCCAAAACTATAGCCAAAATGCCTGTTTAATGACCTCCTTTCCCCCAACCACTGTGCGCTCCCTGAGGGGTCTTCAAAGACTGCCATGTAGCCGGGCACAGTGGCTCACATCTGCAATACCAGCACTTTGGGAGACTGAGGTGGATGGATCATGAGACCAAGAGATCGAGACCATTCTGGCCAGCATGGTGAGACCCGATCTCTACCAAAAATACAAAAATTAGCTGGGCATGGTGGCAGGTGCCTGTGATCCCAGCTATTCGAGAGGCTGAGGCAGGAGAATCACTTGAAGCCAGGAGGAGGAGGTTGCAGTGAACTGGGATTATACCACTGCACTCCAGCCTGGCAACAGAGCAAAACTCTGACTCAAAAAAAAAAAAGACTACCGTGTTCATGGCACACAAGCGACAACTAAGAGATGTCTCTTCAATGAAGGAATTCAATGACTGGAAATGGAGGTGAGAGTAGGGCAGGGGTTTGAATGAAAATGGTTCAGGCCAAGCATGATGGCTCATGCCTGTAAACCCAGCACTTCGGAAGGCTGAGGTGGGAGAATCTTTTGAACCCAGGAGTTTGAAACCAGACTGGGAAACATAGTGACCCTGTCTCTATTTAAAAAAAGAGAGAGAGAGAGAGAAAATAAAAAAAAGAAAATGATTCGGAGGATCCTCTGGAAGCATGGGGCAGGAAGAAGGTCTACAGGGATTGCTAAGCAGGTCCACAAGGCCCGGGTGAGGGGCACGCACGGGGGCTCTTCCAGCAATCCGCAGGAGGTAGTTCTTCCCTATTGTGGTTCAGCAGCTTAGGGACAATCACAGAGAAAATGGACCTGGGATTCCTGACCTGAGGGGCTCATCATTCTGTAGCTAGTGAGAAGGGTGGGTGGGGAGGATGAGTAGTGTTTTCTTTGTTGTTGTTTTGAGATGGAGTCTTGCCAGGTCACTCAGGCTGGAGTGCAGTGGCATGATCTCGGCTCACTGCAACCGCTGCCTCCCAGGTTCAAGCAATTCTCCTGCCTCAGCCTCCCAAGTAGCTGAGATTACAGGCACGCCACCACACCCGGCTAATTTTTGCATTTTTTTTTAAATAGAGATGGAGTTTCATCATGTTGGCCAGGCTGGTCTTTAATTCCTGACCTCAAGGGATCTGCCTGCCTCAGCCTCCCAAAGTGCTGGGACTACAAGCGTGAGTTACCGCACCTAGCCAGTAATGTCATCTTTGAATGTGAAAGAGACATTTGAAATCTCTCTGCTTGTCTCCATCCATCCATCCATCCATCCACCCACCCACCCCTCTATTCATATATCTTTATCTGACTGTATCCTTTCCTTTCCTCCTTCTCTCTCTTCCTCCCATCTTCACATATTGAGTGCCCATCATATGCAAGGCTTCCAGTGGGGCATGCAGCCTCTGTGTTTTCTCATCTCTTTAGGAATTACATCCTATTCTTAGAACTCCCCATGATTCTTGGCGGCCCCACCTGGCAGGTGTCCACGCCCCCTTCTGGGATGCCTGCACACATCATCTTCTCGGTGACTTCCCCCTGGTACGCATCGTCTGCATTGCACCGTGTACTGTCAATGAGCTGGACTGACGCCTGCAGCAGTATGTCAGACAGCTTCCCTGGGAGGGTGAAAACGCTCACATTCCCATGCTTGCCTTCTATCCCCCAGCCCTGGATTGCCAAACCACTTTGCTTTCTGTCTGGTGCCTTGGTGCTTGGTCCTCTGGGATGGGTTTCTCTGAAGGATGGTCCTTCTTCCCACCACTTCTGGAAGCTGCTCCCTCATACAAGGGCATCTCCTGCCTTGTGGTCCTGAGCCCAGGACTTACCTTCATTCTGCTTTGTAAAGCCCCATCCAATGACCCAGAGTGGGGTGGCTGGAGTGAGTTCCTCATCAAAGAAGGGCAAGCAGATGGGCCTGACTGTGCCTGCCAGGAGCACAGAGGAAGAAGGAGGTATTTTATTCATAATTTTTAATTTTCTATAAATTATGATGCTTTGTGATGATGGGTATCTTGCTGGACTGGGACAGACTGGGTCAGCTAATTCCTGCAGATAGTAAACAACTTGCCTTTGTGCATGCCTTTAATGCACAAACCAGCCAACCCAAAGCCCACATCCCCAACCACTTTCTTTACCTGACTCTCAGACACCAAGCCAATATATTCCTTACCCTAAATCACCCCAGGGAAAGATACCAGACAACCAGAGGCCAACCTCTATAACCTAGAGAATTGTTCACACTATCCAATCCCAAGCATGCTCAATCTTGCCTAACCTACCTTGGCCAGACCTGCCCATGGATGCCATGGGTGACTCTGGGCCATGCCTTCCCCTTGCTCCTGCCTCCTGGAGGACCTGGCTGCTTTCCCAGGTGTCCCTGTGTGGGGAGGTATGTCCTTTTCTCTCAGGTACTATAAGTAATAAACTCTTCTTTCTTTCTTTTTTTTTTTTTTAAAGATGGGGTCTCGCTATGTTGCCCAGGCTGGAGTGCAGTGGCTATTCATAGGCAAGATCCCACTACTGATCAGCATAGGAGTTATGAACTGCTCCGTTTCTGACCTGGGCTGGCTCACCCCTCCTTAGGCAACCTGGTGGTCCCCCGCTCCCCGGAGGTCACCATATTGATGCTGAACTTAGTGCAGATACCCAGTCGGTATGGCACACTACAGACAAGAACTCCTGGGCTCAAGAGATCCTCCAGCCTCAGCCTCCCGAGTAGCTGGGACTACAGGCATGTGCCACTGCGCCCAGCTAAACTCCTCTTTCAGATAGTTGTGTCTGTATCTGTCACCTTACCATACCTGATTAAAACAATTCCCAGGTACAAATCTTGAAGCACACCCAGGATTCAGGAGAGCCTGGCAGTTCAGCTCTCTGAAAGGGGTCACACCAGGGTCTCTAGAACACTTGGTCTATGGAATTCTAATAGAAGTGGCATGAAAAAAGGATTCTGTGGTCAAATCAATTTAGAAAATGTAGGTTAAATGCAATAAAACAGATTATTTAAAAAACTTCTCATATCTTTAATAAACAAATGTGCTCCAAGAAGGGAGCTGTATACGAAAATGTTTTCCAAACTTATTTGACAATGGAATCCTCTCTTCTCCAAGGGGCCAGTGCCTTGGGAACCCCACAGTTGGGAATGCTGATCTAAATACTTTTCGGTATAAGCTCAAGGCCTCCCACAGAGCTATTCAAAGTCTCTGCGGCTGCCTCATGAGTAATGGGCGCCCTACCCCCGGAGGAGAGCAAACAGGGGCACGATGACTCCATGGCAGGGACACTGGGCAGGCTCTTGGGTATTGGTCAGTGGTGGGGAATGAGCTTGATAATCTTTTCAAAAAGTCTCCCACAACTGCAAGATTGGATGAAACTCCAATGCTCACTTGAGGGGCTCCACATAGGGAAGACAGGCCTTGGAAGACTCTCCGGGCATGGAGTAGAGGTGTTAGCTCACAGCTTGAGGGGGCCTCAGGGCACCAGTGATGTTAGGCTGATGTATTAGTTAGAGACAAATGGGCAAGCTGAGGTCTTGAGAGGAGAAATTATGTGCCGAGGCCACTCAGTGAGCTAACAGCAGAGTGGGCGTGAAAACTGGGTGGGCTTGGGCCCTGCTTCTCACCTGAGAAAGTGAGTGGGAACTGCAGCTTTATGAGGGCAATGTCATTGTCTTTGGGGTACATGGGGTTGAATTCAATGATGATGATCTTGGCCACAGCCAGGGATGGGAAGTTGCCCAGTTTGTCTGAGCCGGCCCGCACCTTCCAGTTGAACACATCGGTATGTTTCCTGGGGAAGAGACAGCTGGGTTCAGGCCTGATGCAGGTCTGAGGAGGCTTTGCCAAAGGCTGGGTCCCCAGGGCCCTAGGGACCAGGGTGCTAGGTGTCACTGCCTTGGGAGGGAAAGATGATGGTGGAGAAGGAGCAGTCTTTTGGCACTTATAAGAAGCCAGATTCAAAAAGGGGATTTGACCTTTTTCCTCAGTGAAACCTGCCTGAGGACACTTCAAGGAGGGCTAGGGAAGGGGTTCTTCCAATGCCTGAGCAGGCATTGGAATGACAATGACAATGGCCAATGTCAGTTATTCACGGGGCCCTGGCGCTCTCTCCACCAACCTTTTCCATTGTTACCTATGCTGTCCGCTATGTTACATGCTTGTCTTTCTTTTTCCCAATGCCAGGCACAGCTTAGTGTGCAGGGATGTTTTCCAGCAAAGAATTTATAGCTCTCGCCAGAATCTCAAAAAAAAAAAAAAAAAAAAAGTTAAGAAATGCTAACCTAGACTGCGAGTGCCTTGAAGACAGCGATGGAGTCTAATGCACTTGGGCGCATCATCTGATGCTTGGTACCTGGTAGGTGCTCATCAGATGTTGAGTGAATGATCGAATAAGTGAAGGGCAGCTGGATGCAGTGGCTCATGCCTGTAATCCCAGCATTTTGGGAGGCTGAGGTGGGCAGATCACTTGAGGTCAGGAGTTCGAGGTCAGCCTGGCCAACATGGTGAAACCCTGTCTCTGTGAAAAATACCAAAATTAGCTGGGTGTGGTGGTACATGTTTTTAGTCCCAGCTACCTGGGAGGCTGAGGCAGGAGAACTGCTTGAACACGGGAGGCAGAGGTTGCAGTGATCCAAGATGTTGACACTGCACTCCAGCCTAGGCGACAGAGCAAGACTCTGTCTAAAAAGAAAAAAAAAAACAAAAGGGAGTGGTCCTTCCTAGAGGTATGGCCAGGCCTCTCTGTGGACTGAAAAGGAATCTATGCTTTCAATTATTTTTTTACGTTTCCGGACCTAATGAGGAAGTGGCAGTCACTCTAGGCCCTGGAACAACTTCCTGGAAACAAGCAAAAGAATAGTGACTTCTTGGAACTTCAGGCAGGTGGGAAGAGGTTTTGTGGCTTGAATGGCATGCAGGTGGGGTGAGGACTCTGGGTCTCTTATGGTGTCCCACTGGGAGGAGGCCTTGCTTGGTGACCAGCACCCTCTGCTCAGACCACCCAAATGCCTAACAAAGGGCATCATGGCCATTGTCTCATTGGGGCTGCCACACCCTGGCAAATGTCTCTAGTGGGAGAATGAAGAGAACGAGGGTGTCAAGAGACAGGGCCCCAAGGTCTCTGGCCCCTGACTGGCCTTGGTTCCCCGAGACCTCCTTATAGCTGGGGACTTACCTGAAGCAGTGGGCTGCCGTGAGGACCCAGTGGGGGTCCAGAATGCTCCCTCCGCAGACGTGCTGTTTGTCGTACTGGATGCTGACCTGCCAAGGCCAAGAATCCACAGAGGCCTCCTCCCCACCCACCACGCGGGGGGTCTTCAGGCTTTCCCCACAGGCTGGACGCAGGCAGAGGCAGGGAGGAGGCAGGATGTCAGGCTCTTGGGGATGAGGCTGCCTCCCCTTAGCACCCAACATCTGCCCTGAGCAGGGTCCTTATGGCTGGGGCCAGAGTGGGAGGGGGCCAGGCCAATCTGAGTTATTCATGGGGAGATATCGAGTGTCCCAGACCACAGGCTTTCCCCAAACCTCCTTCTCCGTCTTTTTTTGTTGTTGTTCAGGATGTGTTCAGGAGTTTAGACTATGAACACGGGTGTGTCTGTTGTGCTGGGAATTCGTGACCTTCACAAGTGATGCAGAATTATAAAAGCCCTGCCCATGTGGCGTGTCCCCCAGCCACACCCACTGACTAACAGTAAACAGACACCCACAAGCTGTTTTGTGACCCGAGAGTGGACTGTCCTATCTCAGACTCCCCCTTTTCCAAGTCTGTCCCCCTTGCCAGGGGAGTCTCTCAATCTGATATTCTGTCTTCCCACTGACCTGGCTTTCACACCCCACCACCCCTAGAACTCCTGTAAAGCCCTCAGGTCCCACCTCTCCACCCATGCTCTGCCTCTCCAATTCTTCTGGCAGCCACCACCGCGGTGGCCATTCTAAACGGGAAAGGCTGCTTCCCTTTCCAATATGTCAGGCGCCGTGCTAGGCTGGTGCTTTTGAAACACCATCTGATTTCAAACACTGCTTTCTCCATGCCACCTTGCGCACTCACTGAAGCCCTTCAGGACCTTCCTTGAGGCAAAGCAGAGTTTCCAGTCCTGGAATTCTCCTGCTGTTTCATATAAAGCCTCGTCTAGCCAAATTGATCTGCTTGTAGTTCTCTAAAAAGTCATTCTGTTTTTGATCCAAAAAGATGCCCTTCCCTGAAATGCTGCCTCCTCTCCTAGTTCTCTAAATCAGGTGTCCCCAGCCCCCGGACCTCAAACCAGTACTGGTCCATGGCCTGTTAGGAGCGCGGCCGCACATCAGGAGTGAGCAGCAAGGGCAAGTGAGCATCACCACCTGAGCTTCACCTCCTGTCAGATCAGCAGTGGCATTAGATTCTTATAGGAGCACCAACCCTATTGTGGACTGCACGTGTGAGGAGTCTATGCTGTGTGCTCCTTAATGAGAATCTAGGCTGGGTGCGGCGGCTCATGCCTATAACCCCAGCACTTTGGGAGGCTCAGGCTGGCAGATTACCTAAGGTCAGGAGTTCGAGAACAGCCTGGCCAACATTGTGAAACGCCATTTCTACTAAAAATACAAAAATTAGCTGGGCGTGGTGGCGGGTGCCTGTAATCCCAGCTATTTGGGAGGCTGAGGCAGGAGAATCACTTGAACTCAGGAGGTGGAGGTTGTAGTGAGCTGAGATCGTGACACTATACTCTAGGCTGGGTGATAAGCTCTGAAAAAAAAAAAAAAAAAAAAAAGAGAGAGAGAATCTAATCTCTATTCCCTGCTTGGTTTGTGGAAAAATTGTCTTCCATGCAAATGGTCCCTTGTGCCAAAAAGGTTGGGGACCACTGAATTCTAAATCATTCATTAATCTAACCAGTTTGTGTCGAGTGCCCTCCGTCTTGGGGCAGGGCTGGGTGTTGGGAGAGAGTGGTGGGCAGGACAGACATGGGTTTTCTCTCCTTGAACCTACAGATGCATTTTTCAGTGTTCAGCCTGGGCCCCCAGTCCCTGGGAATTTCCCTTTCTCTGGAATTCCCACAGGATGTCCCAGGTGTTGGCCACACTTTCAGTGTGGTTGTGCTTAGGTCTTGTCTTCTTGGCAACACAGAGACCCCTCAAGGGAGGACCTGCCACTTATACTCCTTCATGCCTGCAGGGCTACTCACTGCAGAACCTCAGATGGTGTGACCATCCATCCATTCGTTCATTCATTCATTGACCAACCACCACATGTCAGATCCCACACACTAGGTATTGTGGGATGGCGGTGGTGGGGTACACGATAATGAATTAAACTCTCAACATCCTACAGGGAAGTGTATGCACTCCTAAACTGCAGAGGCAGTGCTGTGACCTTCTTCTTCTCTTAGGCGTTTTAATTTCTGGTTATCCTTCCAGGCCCATCTCAGTTCTCCATGAAGCTGGTGGGATGAGCTGAGCCACACTGCTTCATTTCTTTTCTGATCTCCTCTCTTAGAGCTAGAAGGGTCCCTAGAGATCCTTAATGGGCAGTTGGACTAAAAGACTTCTTAGGAAAATGAACTTCAGGGAGGTCAGGCCACACGGGAAGTGAATGGGTCTTCTGGCCCTCTTCCAGCTCTCTCTACAGCATGTCAACTGTGACTGCTGCTCAGTTTCGCATTTTCCACATGTTGTCTTGCATCTCTCTCTTACTTAGTCATAAGCTACCAAGGATGGGGGCCAGTTATTTCACTCATCTGGTATTTTCTACTTCTAGCCAGCAACTGACAGAGTGAGACACATTCTAACGGTTCAATGAATAGCTCAAATAATAAATGTGGGTAATCTGATCTTGGATACCTGAGCTGATTGTGACAAAAAAGGCTATGTGGGCCTTGACCATGGGTGGGAGGCAGTGGGGGCCCCATCCTGCCCTTTTCAGTCTTCCTAATGCCTTCTCCCACGTCTCCACTTCGGTTGTGGAGCCATGTGCGATGGTAGAAGGGAGTTCTTCACACCACAACCTGAGGGAGCATTGACCTGCAAGGCCAAGGGCTGTAGATCCAAGCAGATGAAACTTGGATTCCCAGAAATTTAGTAGTAAAGATGAAGGTCTTCCTGCTTGCTCATTGCTGGCCTGGGCCCCAAACCCTCAGAGATCGGGGGTACTCACCAAGGCAGTGCAGGGAGACCAGGGAGCCTGAGAGACAGGACCTGGAAGACAGACACAGTGCCCTGTGATTTAAGCATCTCCCTCAGCTGGGAGGCAGGGACTCAGACCTCCTGGGGCTGCTAATTCAAGTCCCCTCAATACCTGGGAATCTGGAAGATGCACAGTGGAGAACACCTGGAGACTGCATTGACATCATTGTATTTCCTGCACTGACATTTCCCTTTGATTGGATTCAACACCCCCACAGCTGAGTACCTACTGTGTGTTGGGCCCTGCCTGCTTCAAAGCCCAGCCTGGGATCCTGGGACTTAAGAGAGAAGAGGGCAGAGCCCGGAACAGAGTCTACAGCACTGCAAGCTTTCCAAATGGAAGAATGGGATTTTGATGACATTTTAGGCAAAGGATCATTCTGCTACCAACCCTGTCCTTTTCAAGATTTACTTACGGTGAATAAGCAGCCCTCAGCAACATCCCTGAGTGCTAAGAAGCCAGCCTCCTCTCTGAGCCACTTTGCAGCAGTGTGACAGATTTCATCCGGATGCTGTGCTCTAACGCAGGGTGCAAGGCTCAGGAAGAGGCTACCTATAAGGGCCAGGGAACCTCTTCCCTGGAGCCTCAAGAAGGTGGGGAGCTCTGGCTGGGTAAGTGTTAGGGAAGGACAAAGTGACATTGGAATCTTGCCCATTGGGCAATTTATTAGAAAACCTACAGCAGTAGCAAAAACTATTTACTATCCAGATTGGTGGAAAGGTCACATTATCCATCCCTCTGGCTTCGAGTAGGACAGCACACTTTGTTCAGCTGTCCACTGTGTTAAAAACAAGTCAACATAGAAAACCTCTCCAAAATGTGCGTCTGTAGCTCTTGGCGTTGAGTGATCTGTCTAGCTGGGAGTTCTTCCTGATGTCTGCCTGACATTCCCCTGGCCGCTTGGCGTTCCAGGTAAGCTGGTTGCAGCCCGAAGAGCAGCGTCCATATGTGGGCCTTCTGTAGGCCAGAAGGAGGCCCCTCACTTACCCACTTGAGTTCCGCACGTGAAGCTCCTGGCTGTTTTCTGTTATTTCAACAACATCCAGATCCTGGTCTGGGCCAATCTCCACAGCTCTGAAAGTGGGTTTGCTGCTCGCATCAAGAGGGAGAGAGAGTTGTGAGCTGGGGGCAGGGGGTTGGAACAAGATAGCAGAGTTGGCCCCCACTCTCAGGAGACAGAGTGGCAGAGAATGCCTGGTGGGGAGAGGCAGGGGAGCGGAGGTAGTCTTAGTCAGTGAAGATGGGGCCTGCTTTATACAATAAAGAATATACCCTTGGCATCCCCCGACTCAAGCCTTGGTGCAGTGCTGATGTGACTTGCTTTCTTGGGTGGGGACTCTAAATCCAGAACCCAGAGCCCTGGAGAAATGTTAGAGGGGGTCTCCTTTCCAAACTCCCAGCTTTGTCCCTATTTCAAATATCCCAACAATGTCTTCTGGTTCATAGCCAGGAAACAAAGAGGCATAGGGGCCGAGGATAGCTCCCTTCTCACCTGGGAAGGAGTTGGAATGTGGATATTTGGTTCTCCAAACAAGACATCTAGTCTGACTTTGATGGTGGGGGTATGTTTTTGGGCCCCTTAGAGTTATTTAATAGAACAGGACTGGATCTGTCTTCATGTGAATCCAGACAAACATTTCTCTCGATTGGACCACCCTCCTTCTTTCTCTCTGCTAATCCATGCTTGCCTGCTTTCAAACCTTGGGTTGAAGTTTTTCCTCCTCCAGGAAGCCTTCCCTGATTAATTCCATCTCTCTGATTGTTCATTTACTAAATTTGCCTCTTCTAAATCTCTTCCTTCCATCCCCAACCGTGCTAGTAATGCTAGTAGAAGCTCTCCATGGAGGGCTGGGTCAATCAATGGTACTGGCGGATTGGTACATTCTCAGGCAGGGATGCTGGCACTTCCTAGGAGGACCCAAGTCTTGGACCTGGGAGGACTAGAGTAGGTTTTAAGAGCCCTCATAATCTAGGTTCTGTCCCTGGCTCTGGCACTAGTTTGATGTGTGGCCTTGGGCAGTTTGCATTCTTTTCCTGGGTCTCTCCAAGCCTCAGTTTCCCCATCTCTAAAAATATGTATGGGGCCGGGCATGGTGGCTTATGCCTGCAATCTCAGCACGTTGGGAGGCTGAGGTGGGTGGATCACCTGAGGTCAGGACTTCAAGACTGGCCTGGCCAACATGGTGGAACCCTGTCTCTACAAAAATATAAAAAATAGACGGGCATAATGGCAGGTGCCTGTAATCCCAGCTACTCGGGAGGCTGAAGTGAGAGAATCGCTTGAACCTGGGAGGTGGGAGCTGTAGTGATCTGAGATTGCCCCACTGCACTCCAGCCTGGGTGACAGAGTGAGATTCTGTCAAAAAAAAAAAAAAAATGCATGGACCAGGAGAAGGGCCTCCAATCTAGAGGGAGGAAAGAAAGTAGAGAAATCTGAGATCTAGAAGGAGGGAATATGATGGAAATGGACATTCCCAGGAAATGGGAATTAACTTCTGTTCACCAATTCCATCCTAATGAATGATTCTGATGAACTTTGATTTTGTAAAGTACAATAGTCAGGTGGTTTGGTGCCTTAGTGAGCTCCAAAGGGACAGAAATTCCAGGAGCCTGTAACCTTAAGAACCCCTGGAGACACCTGGGTTTCACCACCAAGCCTCAGCCTGCTCTGCTGGGTACGGGGCTGACAGGCTTACGCAGCAGTTGACTGGACTACAGTGGGGAGGAGGGGCTGGCCTCAGCAAGGCTGGGCTCCTTCGGGAAGAGGAGAGAATGGCAGGTTGAGGCATAACTCTCTCACTCTCCCTGAAATGAAGGTGGCAGGGTATGCTTTCTAGAGGGTACTGGAAGTTGCACCCCACGGAGAGTAGAGAGGAGCAGAAGCCTGATGAGCAAGAAAAGAGCAGCAAAGAATTCTGATTAATTTGTAATGGCTGCCTAGAGCATTTACTGAAAAAGGACTTTGAGGCTGCATTACGAATCCATGGGAGAGAGTTCTGTGATTGATTGGTGATGTCTGCCTAGTAGAGATTTTTTGATTTTGTCTTTTGGTTTTCTTTTTGGCCTAGTCTCTGGGTCCAGTCTCTTAGAATCCTGAAGAAGTTTGAAGACTGCCCAAGATAGGTTATCTCGCTCTGCACTGAATGCATGGGTTCCGCATGAGAATAAAGAATTACCCAGTCTAGAAACAGAAACACTACGAGAACTCCTAATGCACAAAAATTAGGGGTCTTGGGCTCAAATTCCAGCCCTTTACCTCCCAACTGCTGTCCTAGCAAGTTACTTGCTTTCTTTGAGTCTATTTATGAAATAGATATAATAACGATCTTTTTGGTTTTCTGCCCAAATCAAATGAATATAAATATAAAAAATGCAAATTACTCTTATTATAATCTTACACCTTTTCATCTACTCCAGATTTGGAAATGCTTTTGAAATTTGCAGAGAGATCTGGGATTGCTGAAGATGGGGCCCCACTGGAACTAGGCTCACTTAAGCTAAATCTTAACCAATGAAACTTTGAATAAGTTAATTAGGGTTTTGTATTACTGGGCAGGGAGAGTTTCTTGCAAAGTCAGGACAAAGGAGTGAAGGTTGAGGGGTAAAGGAAAGGTGAGGACTGTATAGAAGCTAGAAGTGTGTGTGTGTGTTGGAGGGCAGCACACATTCTCTCGTTGGCATTCCATAACCATCCTATGAGGTTGGCATTACTTCCCCCAATTCACTCTTGAGGAACCTGAGGCTTAGGAAATTTAACTTCCTGTTGCTTATAAGTGAAATGCTGGGATTCAAAAGCAATTCCACCTGGCTCCAATGCCTGTATTTTTTAGGAAAGAGAGAAGAAGGGAGGAAGGAAAGGGGGCAGAGGAGGAAACAAGAGGGAGGGAAAAAGGAGAAAGACCCAGGTTGTTTACCTGCTGTAGCCCATCTGCCTACAGGCTGTCTTGGCCAGAGCTTCTGTGAAGTTGTCGAAACAGGCAGAGAACCAGTTCCCTGTGGCTGGGTCCAGCACCTGTAAGGTGGATCGGTCCTTGGAGAGGCGGACTGGGAGGAAAGGAACCTGGGTTAGATGGAAGGGGGGCATCTATCTGGCCCATCCCCCTCAGAACTCATCATGAGACCAGCCCAAGCTCCCCCAACCTAGAACTGGGGGTACCACAGATCCCCAACACTTTCAACATCAAGGGAATTTCCTCCATTTGACTTTGTCTATTTGGGCCTCATTTTGACAGTAGCTAGCATGACCAGATGTCCTGGGGTCAGTCTCCATTTTGACCTGTTGCCCTGGCTTCATAGTGCCCCTTTTTGCTCTTATAGGTATCAGTTTTGATGATCAATTATGCGGTCACTTTACCCAGTGACCATATACAACTTGTTTAAATTGTATGGACCACATACCCATCCATGGTCTGTACAACTTGCCTAGCCTGGGGAAACTTCTCAGAGAGGGACCTAGGTCCTTCTCCAGGTAAGGTCAGAGTAGGAGGTTGAGTGAGAAGTCCTATTGGCAGTAGGATGACAGGTGCTCGTGGGCATTTGACTTCTGATAAAGAAAGGGCAAATGCACAGGAAGTCACTCAGCCCTGCCCTCAGAAGCCCCATCACCCATCTCCTAGCTATCTTTTTTTTTTTCTTCAGAGCCCAAGCAGCAGGGGGATGAAGGTAGAAGAGCCCAGTCCAATAGAGAACATGGGTTTTATGCTCAAAACATCTCCTATTCATTGGGAGGACTTGGCTCGGTCCCGTCACATAGCATATCTCAACAAACACTAATGAATAGAAGCACCAATAGCTGGCGAAGTGGCTGAGTAGTCTCTTTTCTAGTCTCCTTGAAATAACAGATCTCATAGAAAGGAAGAATGCCCCAAGGTCACCCAGTCTAGCCCTCTGCCTGAAACTCACCCAGGTGCAGCAGGAATGGGGCAGGCTCAGTTACAATTTTCTGTTTTTTCTGACTCACATTTGTTCATCAAATAATTACTGTTTGCTGCGTGTTAAGTACTGGGATACAAAGGTAGACAAGACATGGTCCTGCTCTCAAGAAACTTATAGAGCTGGGCGTGGTGGCTCACGCCTGTAATCCCAGCATTTTGGGAGGTCAAGGCAGGTGGATCACCTGAGGTCAGGAGTTCAAGACCAGCCGGTCTAACCTGGTGAAACCCTATCTCTACTAAAAATACAAAAATTAGCCAGGCATGGTGGCAGGCGCCTGTAATCCCCGCTGCTTGGGAGGCTGAGGCAGGAGAATCACTTGAACCTAGGAGGCAGAGGTTGCAGTGAGCAGAGACCCAGCCACTGCACTCCAGGCTGGGCGACAGACCACTCTGTCTCAAAACAAAACAAAACAAAACAAAACAAAACAAAACAAAACAATACAAAACAAAAAAAGAACCTTATACAACAAGGATGAAAAGTGACAAGTAGGTGGCAGATACTATGCAGTGGGTCATGGGGGCCTGAGCAGACCTCCTGCTGAGCCTGCTCTTCTTCCCCCTCAGACCCTGCACTCACCTGCCACTGCAGGCCCTTCGGGGAAGCTCTTGACACAGTACTCCTCGTCCTCCCCCAAGGGACAGTCCAGTTCCCCGTCACACAGCTGGCTTCTTGGGATGAAGTGGAGGGGCTGCCCGCAGAGGAAGTAGTATTTATCCAGAATCAGCTTGACTGGAAGGCAAGTGCAGGGAGGGGCAGAGAAGGCTGAGGGTTAGGCTTGAGCAGGGAGAGGCTGTGTTTTCCTGGAGATAGCGCTGGGCTCGCAGACACGCATGTGTGAGTTCCAGGCCCAGTTTTGCTGCTTGGTAGTACATAGACTTGAAGCTTGCAGACAAGGAAGCTGGGCCTGCGCCTTAGCTTCCTTGTCTGTAAAGTGGAGATAGTGACACTGGTCCCATGCATACAAGATGTCTGAGGAGTCAAGAGAGGTCTTGTGTGTGAGGGAAAACGAGAAACAGGCTGGTACCTGCCTCTTACCCCCCCACTCCCAGTGCTGGCTTAGTACGCTCTGGTAACAGAGGAAGAACCCGGAGTCTGAAGACCCAGTTCTGAGTCCTAGCTCTGCCACCTACTGTGCAACTTTTTTTTTTTGAGATGAAGTCTTGCTCTGCTGCCTAGGCCGGAGTGCAGTGGTGCAATCTTGGCTCACTGCAAACTCCGCCTCCTGAGTACCTGGGATTATAGGCACGTGCCACCACACTTGGCTAATTTTTTGTATTTTTAGTAGAGATGGGTTTCACCATGTTTGCCAGGCTGGTCTCGAACTCCTGACCTCAGGTGATTCACTCATCTTGACCTCCCAAAGTGCTGGGATTACAGGCATGAGCCACCGCGCCTGGCCATACTGTGCAGCTTTATACGGATCACTTTCCCTTCTTAGTTCTCAGTTTCCTCATCTGTATAATGGGATGATAATATCTATAATATCTGCCTTATGGAACTGTTGAGAGCATGTGGTATGATGGTAGTTGTGAAAATGTCTCATAACTATCAAGTATAGTTCTAGAGTTGGGTGCTTTTATTTGGGTGAAAGAACTGTTAAATGATAAGAACACATGGACACATGGGGGGGATCAACACACACTGGGGCCTGTTGGGGGGAAGGCAGGGGGAGGGAGAGCATCAGGAAATATAGCTAATGGTCACTGGGCTTTATACCTTGGTGAAGGGTTGATCTGTGCAGCAAACCACCATGGCACACGATTACCTACGTAACAAACCTGCACATCCTGCACATGCACCCTAGAACTGAAAATAAATGTTGAAGGGGCTGATTGCGGTGGCTCATGCCTATAATCCCAGCACTTTGGGAAGCCGAAGCGGGTGGATCACCCGAGGTCAGGAGTTCGAGACCAGCCTGGCCAACGTGGTGAAACCCCTCCTCTACTAAATATACAGAAATTAGCTGGGCATGATGGCAGGTGCCTATAATCCCAGCTAGTCGGGAGCCTGAGGCAGGAGAATTACTTGAACCCGGGAGGTGGAGGTTGCAGTAAGCTAAGATTGCATCATTGCACTCCTGCCTGGGCGACAAGAGCAAAACTCTATCTCTAAAAATAAAATAAAATGAAATAAAAGTTGAAGAAAAAAGTAATGAAAATATATAAATAGGCCGGGCGCGGTGGCTCAAGCCTGTAATCCCAGCACTTTGGGAGGCCGAGGCGGGTGGATCACGAGGTCAAGAGATCGAGACCATCCTGGTCAACATGGTGAAACCCCGTCTCTACTAAAAATACAAAAAATTAGCTGGGCGTGGTGGCACGTGCCTGTAATCCCAGCTACTCAGGAGGCTGAGGCAGAAGAATTGCCTGAACCCAGGAGGCGGAGGTTGCGGTGAGCCGAGATCGCGCCATTGCACTCCAGCCTGGGTAACAAGAGCGAAACTCCGTCTCAAAAAAAAAAAAAAATATATATATATATATATATATATATATATATATAAATAACTAAAATTAAGAAAAATAAAGAAAGCTCTGTTAAGGGGTTGGTCCTTGGTTTTGTTTTGTTTCTGCTTACTGTCTTTGGATTCTGCCAGCTGCTATCAAATTCTGTTGCTCTTTTGCCATCTTGGGATGATGGGAATATGTTCAGCACATTTAACCTTTCAGGGAACTGATATTTTAATATTTTTTTTTGGCTGTGAATGGTAGTTAGCACCTGTAATCCCAGCAGTTTGGAATGCCAAGGCAGGAGGATCGTTTGAGCCCAGTAGTTCAAGATATCAATTTGGGCAACATAGTGAGACCCTTGTCTCTACAAAAAAACTAAAAAATTAGCCAGGCATGGTGGTGTGCACCTGTGGTACCAGCTACGTTGGAGGCTGAGGCAGGAGGATTGCTTGAACCCAGAATTTTAATGCTACAGTGAGCCGTGATCACATGATTATACTCTAGCCTAGGAGACAGAGCAGACCTTGTCTCCAACAAACAAACAAACTTCCCTTAGTGAAGACTCACAGCCCAACACCCGGGCAGGAGGGAACTCCTCCTTCCTCACTGAACTCTCTCTTGGCCTGACGCTCCCCTGTCCGGTCCAGTGTTACCCTGGGCTGGTCCTAAGAGTAGTGGCATTAAATCTAACAATGGCCCCTGCATTTGCTATGTCAGGAGCTTTCCATGCATTTCCTCATGTAATCCTGGTAACAGTCTTGGGAGGGAGGTATCATTATTAACTCACATTACAAATAGGGACATGGAGAATCGAAGGCCAGGCTTTATTTTCCCAGGCCACACAGTGCTTCCAGTATACAGCCCGGGTCTGTCTAACTCCCCGGGGGAGCTCGAGATGTGATCTGGTGGCCCTGATGCTTCTGGCTTGAGGGAAGCCAGGGAAAATGAGGAGCCATTTCTTTGAGTTTGGTTTATGATAGGAGCCAGGGTACTGTAAAGTCACCTCAGCCCCCTGGGACAAAGCCAGGAGACAGCGTCACCAGCTGAGCCTCCAGAAGCCATAAGGTTGAGGGAGTCCAGCCCAGGAGGGAGGACTGGGTTACAACCTCTGATTGCAGAATCTGGGATGTGGAAGCCATGTAGAACCTTCTGGGACGGGGGTGTCCAGCTCTAACTTATGCTTTAGTGCCTGCCTGGCGTTCCTTGGATAACTCTGGCCTCCTTTCTCTCCACTGCGGCAGTGTGTATGCTCACGGAAAGCAAGCTCACTTTAACATTAGCCTGAACAGAACAGGCTGGCAAGTCTGCTGATGTCACTGCAAATCTCCATCATGTGGGCAGCCAAGGTCAAGGAGAAATGGTTTGGGGTTATCTGCATCTCACACCCATCTAGGGCTCCCAGGGCTTTGTGTAGGGTTTATGTTATGATCTGCATTTCTACTGCCACAGATGGAAATAGACCTGTTCGATCAGGGGACCAGGGTCCTGTCCCAGCCCTGTCCCTGACTGCCACTCCACCTCTCCAAGCCTCAGTGCTCATGTAGAAAGAGGATCAGAGGCTGTCTCAATGTCCTCCAACCCGGCAGTTGGCTGCTACTGCTGGAAATGTCACCGCAATTACAAGTGCAGGTTCCTGAAAGGCCAGCTATTCCCTGGCTGCACAGGCAGTGCTGCCCCAGTTAGCAAATACATGTCCTGCGTCACATTTCACCTGCTGCTGTGTGATGACACATTCTTTTGAAAAACTTGGTTTTTAGCCGGGTTCTTTACATATGTTATCTCATTGGTGCTCATGATATAGCTCTGAGGAAGGAAGGACATTTTACAGGTGAGGAGACTGCAGGTACGAGGCAGTGAAGGACTTACTCAAGGTTGTACAGCAGCAAGTGGCAGAGCCAGGATCCCTGTCCCAGGTGTCCTGATTCCTAGTCTGGTCCCCTGATTCCCAGTCTGGTCCCCAGTGCCCTACTCCCTGCTGTGAAAAGTTGTGGTCAGTAGCCTATTATGCTCATGTAGGTAACAAAGGCAATGACTCCATCATAGGGTGTGGAAGCCGAAGGGGACCCACATCCCGGCTCCTTCGGTTGAATCTTCTTTATCACAGATAAGTGCCCGAGGCAGAGAGGCCTGGTCAAGACCACACCGGGCCTCAGGCACTGGCCATGGTGAAGGCTAAGCTGAAGGGGGCTGGGTGCTGGCTGCCTGGGGGGTCTTCCTTGCTGCCTCCTCTTTCTTCCCTCCTCACAAGCAGAAATGCTGCCTGTTCTTCCAGCCTCTGCTCAGAGCCACTCAGCTTGCAATCTGCAGAAGACAGGAAGGAGGAGGCAGAGGGCGTGGCGGCCCTGCAAATTGCCTGCGTGGGTTAGGAACATATGCCACTGTGCTCTCCCTCTACAAGAAATCACCTGGGATGGAAGCCATCTGGAACAGATGGGGGCTGAGTTCATCTCCCCTTTCACTCTTGGAAGAAGGCACTCTTCAAAGCAGGGGGTGGATACATGATCTGTCTCTTTCCTTTCTCTCTCTCTTTCTTTCTCTCCTTTCTTTCTTTCTTTCTTTCTTTCTTTCTTTCTTTCTTTCTTTCTTTCTTTCTTTCTTTCTTTCTTTCTTTCTT